TTTTCTTGATGACAAATGACCTTTAAGAGATAACTCTGATTGAAAGTAAATCGTGGTGTTTTCCCTCTCTCCAATTACTCACCTTTTTTTTTTCATATTCAGGATTAGCAATTAAAAAAAAATACTCTCATCAATCCAAGATTTTTAAAAAAAGTAAGACTCCTACTTATCCATGAAGTTCCAATGTCCTGGAACCACTGCTAGGGACACTGCCCCAACTGCTCAGATTTTTAATGGTCAGCATGACTTGTCCTCTTGAATGCTGGGTTCAGAGGGCCATGTGAGGGCACTGATCTACCCAAGGTCTTGAGTGACGATGATAACAATGGACACATGATATCGAGGCCAAAAGCAGCACCTGTTTGCTCAGAGGTCAATTCCACCCTGGTCTCCACCCTCGTTAGATCAGCTGTAGCTAAGCTGAGACTGCCGTCACCCTTCTGGCACAGACGAGGGTTCAAATGACTCACTTATGGTCACAGAGCTAACATGACTGGGTGTTTGAACCCTAGTCAATGTGAGTTCAAAGCTGGGCTGTGTGATCTTAGTTACAATGCTATAATCCTCAGGAGGAAGTAATTGAAGCCCATCTTTATTACAATGCTCAGAAGGTGAGGACCCTCCCCAGGTATTTCTAAGAAGAGCAGGGAGGAAGAGGACACCACTGTGTGGGCCGCAGGGCACCCTTAGAGGTTGTGACCTTGCTCTCCTTCTTACACTGGCCAACTCTGTCCTGCATGGACCCTGGTTCCTCAGAGACAGTTGCCTTCTTTATGTTCCATTTCTCTCTCTCCCAGGGTCTCCTTTCGAGCCAGGCAACCTCATTTTGTTAGGACCTACATAGAGACTGGCCAGTTCCAGTGAGTTCCTCCACAGTTCCCAGCCCCCTTTGCAGTAGGTTGGCTACAAGACTGGGTCTGCTGATTGAATGGAAAGAAATGATACATGTCACTTTTGAGCTGATGGTTGAGCACTCTCTTCCTTGACCCCATCTACCAGCTCACACTGGGAGTGGGAAGACCCAGGAGAGCAGCCTGGCCTGCATCTGCATGACCTGGATGAGAAGTAAGCATTGCTTATGTTAGGTCATTGGGGCTGTTTGTTATCACAGCATAACATAGCCTATTCTGACCAATACAGGTTCTTTACTAAAAGTGATTATATAAGTTGAATTATAGATAAATTTAGATGTGGTGGTTTTTTTCTATGTGTCTCTGTTTGTGTGGACTAAGAAAAGTGACCCACATGAAGGATGAAGAAAAATCACAATGTTATAAATGGAAAAGAATAGTCCAGTCCTGGTAGAGGTTGGGTGGCCAATTGGGTGCCCCTTCTGGACACTGGAGGCTGGACTCATCTACCCCTAGCACAGGCTGGATGCTTGTGAGTATGGTGTCCCTAGGGATTTCAGTGATCACAGCCTGCCCCCCAGTGTCAGGAATGTCTGTCTGAGCTGATAGGAGCAGGGGAGAATCTTCTGTTTTAATGATAGCAAGGGTTTGTCAATTAGCATTTTTTTCCATTCTGGCTGGGTATTTGGTCAGTTGTCCAGATGAGCTGTTCTCTAGGCCTGGGGATCTTCTGATCTGGGTGTCAGCTGGGAGGCCATAACCAGGGCTATTGGCCATCCCCAACAATGTCCAGGTGACTATTGGAATAACATGATTTTCATGTGCAGGAGGAGAAAGAGCAACCACCAGGCTGTGTGAGAGATTCTGGGTCCCAGGGGCCTCTGGGGACTCTCTGGTGAGATTCCTCCCTTGAGCCCAAGATCTTGGATGAGTGCCTCCTTTCTCAGTCTTTCTTCCTAAGCTGTCTTTCACTTTTGCCCTGTGATTCTCATTGAGAAACAGGAATAGCCATGTCTTCCCAGCTCTCCTTTCAAGACTGAGATGAAGCCAAGAAAGTTCTGCCCAAGTTATCCTGAGCTGGGGGCTTTGCATCACACTGTGAAAGATGCAATGAAAGAATTCTGCTGGGTACATTAGAAGAAATAGGGGGGCACTATGTTTTGATCCTGGCAGCTTATTGAAAAATGGTCTTTTAAAGAAGAAAGCAAGTCTAGTTAGTGGAAAGGAGAGTAGAATAAAGAGTTATTTGGATGTGAAGAAAATAAAAGGCTTTAGAACAACTGAGGGAAAGATGTATCGGAGGGAACAGTGAATAAAATATTAGGGAAATAAAAGGAGTGGAGGTGGCCATTAGGAACAGTTAAAGCAGAAAGAGATAAGTCACCCAGAAATGAGGGAGAAGATGAAAAAAGTATAAAAGGAAATATTACTGTCAGAACAAAGGGAGCGGGAAGCCACGGACAGAATAAACATTCTCTGTAACCGGCTAAAAGCCAAACACAGAATTGGCTAATTCAAGTCTAGGGTATGGGCAGGTAGAGGACATCTGTCAGGCACAGAGGCAACACCTGCACATGACTTTATAGCACAGTGCAGAGCGTAGACATCAATTGATCAATTAGGCTGTGTTCATGCCTTCAGAAAACAAAAACAGTGATCGCAACCAGAACTCTACAATATTGCAAAGATAAAGGAACAATATGAAGTGCAAATATGATCCAGGGGACCCAAGACGGTATTACCTACCTAGTTCCTCTTAACCTCCACCACCCTGCAACAGGGACCTGTGTTTATGTCAGGAAAGTGTCCCTAACCATCTCCTGGGTCTTCCATATGCAAATAGGCAGCTCCATGTTCTTCTTAAGTGGTCTGGTTCTGTCTGAGTCTTTCCATCCTTCACCCAGCTGTCAGCCTGTGTCAGAGGGTGTTCCAAGAGTGTACCCCAATCATGGCTCTCTAGGTCAGTCACACTTATCTCAGAAACAGAGGTTTTGTGTTTATTTGTAAGTAAATGAAGGGAAAAAACAAAGAATGATGGGAAGGAAGGGTAGATGGGGTAGGAGTGGCTGGCTGAAAACCTTGGTTGGATATGTGGGAAAGCATTTTCAATATTTTGGGCTCTTTATTTCCTATTGTGCTGAAATTGTGCTATTTCTGGAGACCCAGGTTTTCTAAGCAACACTCACCTCAAGTCTGTGACAACTTCCTCTTCACTTAGGCAACGAACTTCATGCACAGACGGCTTCACAACCACCCGTGCCCGTTGCCTTGGAATGAACTGAAAACTCGCTCACCAGGTCGGCTGGCTTTGAGTTACTCTAGTCATACATGTGGACACACAATCTCACTGACAGGGGCTAATCAGATTTTGCTGACCTAACAGCATAAAATTGTAAATGTTCTCAATTCCTATGTCACTGGCTTTTCCTATCATTGATTATCAACCCAGTGTCATTTAGCATTTACTAGCTCACACCGAAGCAGCAGCCATAACCCTCTTAATTACTTAGGGGATTAAACACACACATACACACGGGCACACACAAAGCTATGATATTGGAATGTACAGTGTGGCCTAGTTTAAATTAAAAAGATTCCCCCAAAGTATGATTGTTTCCAGCTTCTCAGTGGTGAATTAAAAGCTGTTTGGTGTCGTGAAGATTACAGAAGCAATCACATTTATGGGCCTGCTTTGCATACCAACTCTATTAATTTCCATACTCAGGGTGGCTTCGCATTTCCAAGCATGTTAACATAGATGCCATTTGGGATAATCACTGGGAAAAAATTAAGAGAGAGAGGCAGAGAGACAGACAGACGGACAGAATCAGGCAGACAAGAAGGGAGAAGAGGGGGAGGGAGAGCCAGAAAAAATCGTTCTCACAAATCAAGTTCCATTTGAAATATATTGATTCTGATAAATACAAAAATCAAAAGACAAATGAGGTCTCCTGGTGGCCTGACCCCAGAGTCACACACAGGGATCAAATTACCAGGAAATCACATATTGGAATTCACTTATTGTGCCCATCCTGCACCTTGCCATGACGGACTCTAATTATCGAGATGATTTCATTGGTGAAATTGCATCAAGATGTGCACGGGCTGCACCACGGATGCCCCTCAACGCTCCGCACTGCATCTTCATTACTGTGCTGCTCTCAACTCTTAAAGTGCTCACCAGCCTCACAATCAGGAGGGCCATTGTGCGTGTGCTTATGTGTGGGTTCTGTCTGTCTGTCTCCCTTCCTTTAAACACGCCAGTCACATGCCACAGGAATAAAGGAATGAAGCAGCCCGGAAGGCACACCTGAGATCTCGCGGTCAACAGTGCAGAGGTGTTGTAGGGGCCTTGAAGCATCTGACCACATTAGACCACTGTCCACATACCCTTTATTTCCATCCATTAAAGAACAGTGCTTGAGAGCCCACAATTAAATGGTTACGCCCACTATCCATTTCAAATGCTTCTGTGAAGAAACCACGCTTGATGTGCATTTAGCAATCTACCCTCTTCCCCCTTAAACATAGAGTAATGTGACGTTAGTGTTAAAAATAGGACGTGATCATAACCACAGATGAAGGATGCACATTTGAAAGAAATCAATCGGAATTTGGGGGGATTTGAAATTAATCCTCAGAACAAACCGGAGAGGTTTTGAATCTTTCTGAGAATGATCTTATCAGCTTCAAGAATCAGAATTTTTGATGCTTATGTCTAAAAATCCCAGCAGCCAATATCATGGTCTCACCATTACTTTGATCTAATGCTATGTATGAGAAACTACAGGTAGGACAGCAATCTACAGGAAGGCAGTGATTTTGCTCTTGGGGTCTGCCCAGGGGAAATGGATTTCATTTCCTTTACATACTGTAGAACTCGCACAGGAGCTGGCAGACTCTTTCCTGGGAGCACTGCAGAAATGCCCGCTGATGATAAAATACTGAAAAGAGAGACCCGCCACTCTATTAACCTCTAAGCCTGCAAGTGTCCGGTTCAGGTGCTCCACCCTGGGTCCGTCATTGACAGAAGAAACATGATCAGAAAACAGTAGTTTAGGAAATACTGCATCCTGAGACACATTCCTCGTCACTAGTGAATTCCAATAGGGGGCTAGGCCAAAAGCATCTTCAAGTGATACTGCTTACAGTTTAGAATCGACTGGTCCTCGATGAATTCTGCTGGCTGATGGATGCGGAACACTTTCTGCTGGAATCCAGGAGTGCAGTCCAAATCTTCTGCAGATGTTAGCAGCAGCACCTGAGGAAACCAAGGCCATTAATGTTTTAATAGCGGCTTATGTGTTTGCCCTGTTAATTTTTTACCAGATAGGCGACTTATAGAAATGAGCTGAGGTTTTAATTTCAGTTCCCAAATGAAGAGGCAAGTTGATACTTCTCCTGGGTCTGCCAGCAGTTCGTTTTGGCAATGAGATCTGGAAAACCCACAAAGGGGAACAGCTGCTGCAGCTTCCATTAAGTTGCAGTTAAAGAAATAACATTGTCAGATTTTTACACCTGCTAAGAATCTCACCATGGTCTCCATGTGTGAAACTTCATTATAGAAACTGTCAATTTCCTGTGATGCCCGAGTTAAAACCAGCTTTACTTTCATACATGCAAAGGAGCACTGTCATCTCTGAAGGGGAAGGAAAAGAGAAGGAGACGTTCCCTTTGGATGTGACTTCTAATAGAACCTAAGGCCTGTTGGGCCTCTGCACCTTAGCCCACTACGGTGGTCACAAGCCACGGTGAGCGACTGAGCACCTGAAATGCAGCTGGTCCCAATTTTAGACACTGATAGAATAAAAAATAATTGGATTTTGGTAACTGAACAAGAATAAAAAAATACCTAACTATAATTTTATATTAATTACACATTGAACTGCTAATACATACACACACACACACATTTATATATGTGGGTCAAAATACATATATTGTTAAAATTAATTTTACTTGCTTCTTTTGACTTTTGTGAGTTTTGGCTACCATATAATTTTAAATTTACAATTACTTCCATAGGCTCAAATTTGTCTTTGCAAATACTTGGGCTATTTACTTTATCTATCAGTCAGAAAGTTGGGTTATCAGCTTTGAAATATCAAAGTATATGATACCCTTCCCGGCAAGGTATAACTTGGGTAAGAAATGAACTTACAGTCTAGTAAGCAAAGACCATAAGCCCATGAGGATAGGCCTTAGTTCTTTTCCTTGCCTGTTTACACCGAGTACATCCCATAATACTTAACAAGGAAAACTGACATTTTTGAGCCTATACCGTATGCCAAGAGTTGTGCTAAGCTCACTATATGTGTATGATTTCACTTACTGTCTTTGGTGGCTCTGCAAAGTGTGTACTAATGTAAGAGAGAGTTTACAGAGGAGGGACCTAAAGCTTTAGAGAGGTCACCAGCTTGCCCCAGATGTACAGTTAGGCTGGGTTGAGTCAGGACTTGAGTTCAAGTCTAAATTTCCTCTAAGTCTGTACACAGTCTAAGCCTTGTCCATTCCCCTTAGGCCCTGCCAGGGAGGACTTTGTGGTTTATTTTTTTTTTCCTGAGATATTTCTCTAAAAACCTTGGAAGACTACTTCACTGTGAGATTGGTGACAGTAACGAGGGTTGGGAAACTGACATGCGCAGGAGCAGCCCTCAACCACTGACAGATGGAAGGGTGCGTAAATACCCGGCTCCCTCTCCCTTCAGGTGAGACGACTGGGGGGCACAAGCTGCCTCCCAGTCCCCGCTTGGATCTGAGCTGCAACCCCACCATGTATCTGGCATGAGTCACCTTTCCTTAGCTCTCTCTTCCTGGGCCTGTTTCCTCGCCCCGTCAGTATTTTTCAGAGGCCAGTCCTCCCCATCAACAGCTTGTGCTGGAATCTTGACTGGGTATCTGCTTCTTAGGAAACCAGACTCTGACGCTGGACCCCATTCTCAACCACTGCACACAGGCAGCTGAAGAAAGTCATTATCGTCCCTGCAGACAAACTCAGAGGAGGGTGCCAAAGGTTGGGAGCTGTGGAATCAGGGCATCTCTCTAAATACCAGCCTCCTGAAATCCACTGAACCCCAAGGAATGGGGGCAAGAATCCCTCTCAGAAGGTTCATGATGCAGCTGGCCTGAGCCACATCAGAGAAGTTGAGATGAAAGTGCCATCCCCTCGCCCGACATCATCTTTCTCAGATCAGAGGGCGGAGAAAGCTCTAGTACAGGGTCTTGCAGATCTGCTTGTAAAACTTCGCCTCATCCTGAGACCAGGCTCTGACACATCGCTTCTGAAGCAATGGCACCACTGGCATCCTAAGTGGCATATACACCATCTCAGACAGCTTCAGAACTCAGAATAATTTGCGATTTTACAAGCAGAAAATCTATAACTGGCTGATGCTAATTTGGTTAAGCAGCCAGCAGGTGAAGGTTATCCCAGGCCCCTGTGCCTACAACCGTACATTACCTTCTAATTGGCTAATTCTGCCCTCAAATCCCAGACCATTAACCAGTCACCCTATGTGTACTAAGGGAGATGCAATTTCCCCAGGGATGCCGCGCTTAGCTCTCCAAGCATGAGAGGAACTAACTGCTCCGCAGGGGAGTTTCTCCATCTTTGTCTTCCCATGACGCAGTCCATCAAAAAGCCCTGCCACAGTCTATTCAGGATTCTCTACAATTGTAAAGAGGGGGCAGAAAAATGAACCTTCTCCAACTGCTGACCCTTAGGAGGTTGGGGTCAGAAATGTCCCACAGACATAGTTTTGTCTGCAAATTCTTGTGTCAGTCCGTCTACCAGTCAAAATTCAGCTTAAATATTTGTCACATAAAAGTACTCAGCAGGTAGACCAGGGTGACTTCGTAAGAGCTTGTCAAATCGTGCACTCGCTCACTCACAAAGACTTGTTAAACTCCGAGGATTCAGTTAGGGCCTTGCCAGATGCTTCCCAGAAACTTTTAAAGAAGGGTGATAATCTTGCAGTTCAATTCAAGGACTCTCAAGCCATTGTTCCCATTTGAATTTTGGCTCCACCCTTCACAGACCATGGGATGTGGCTTGCTTCATGGCTGCTCTGGACCTGGTTTTTCTCATCTAGCAAGGAAGGTGGGGGGCCCTGAGCATGGCTGTGTGGATCTGATAGGCTGATTCACAGGAAGCACTTAGGAAGGCGGTGCCTAGGAAGAATGGTCAACAGATGATCAGTTACAGGGTCATGGTCTAGAAGAGGAGCGTGCTGAGCAGATCCTACGTAATTAATCAGCTAAGGAAAACGAATCCCTAAGTTGAAAGGAAGGCGCAGTCCCTTTGGGAGCATGTCAAAGCTGGCACAGAGGAGCCTATCCTCTCTAGGTGTCGAGGGCATCACACCTGCAGAAGGGATATTCCCTCCTTGAGATCAAAAGTAAGGACTGGCTGTATAAGCAGAGGGATGGCGGCTTATCCTGAACCATCAAGCCCTGTTTTCTTAGGCGTCAATATCAGGTATCAGGTAGCGCATCTCCAGGATGACAAAACTGCATTCAGAGATTAAGAATCCAGACTAACTGAGGGCTTTGCAAAGCTGAATTTCTTGCTGGCCAGCCATGGTGGAGTGTTCTAAGTTCTTCTATCGCCCCTTGACAACTTATCAGGATTCTCCATGTGAACTCAGCATGGAGAGCCACTCTTCGATTCCAATCCCACTAAGTTTGGGGGTGAGATATAAAGCATGACCCCTCATTGTGGTAGAATACCCCTGGGACATTATGCCAGAGCCAGGAAACCTTCTCCGACATTATGAGACACTACACGTATGAAGACCTAGACATGCTGTTCCCCAAGCCCTCTTTACCTCTGCCAGAGTATGTGCTGTGGGCATTCCGAGTTTATCTTTAATGCCAGGCAATCATGGTCTTCCTCTATTGTTCTTGGGTTCATCTATGCATCATCTTGCCTCTCATAAATAACAGGTGACCAATACACCTTTGAAAACATGACAATTATCAAATTTTATGATCACTAATGGGTTCCTATTACTGGAAAATTACAATCAGCCTGCCCTGAAAGCAGAGATACATCTCTGCAGACAATAAGCACAGGTCTGAGCCTGGCTGGTTCAGTGTAAATTCTGGTTATACTAGTGGACGAATAAGGCAAGTGACCGGTGCCTCAGTTTCTTTGAACAAAAGAGTAATACTGGAGTCTTGCAGGATATCATGAGGATAGGGTGAGTTGATTATTGTAAAGAGACATAAGTAGCACTTGGCACATAATAACTGCTCGATAAATGCTTATTATTATTTCTAATAATAATACACGTGATTCACTGATATTCCTTGGGGCAGACACTGACATTTATCACTAGAATATTATTTGTTGCTACTATAGAACTGCTGAGTGGATATCTGTGCTCAAAAGCATACAGATGGCGAAAGCAGGGATGTGAGTCCAAGAGTGGAAGAGCAGGGCGTTGGCGTGGTGGGGTCAGCCCGGCAGTGAGGAGGTCAGGGACGCCTGCATCTGGGCTGCTTCTGTGAAAGGACACCATGTACTCCCCTGAGCGTGTCCTCACGTCACCCGCATTTCTCTTTTTAGCTTCCATTTCTTTGACGCAGCACAGAACTTTCTGTCTTAAAAATAGCGGGCTGGGCTGGGCTCGCTTATCCTGACAGGTACTGACTCGAGAGCGGAGCCAACTCTGGAGTGCGCTTCCTCTCCCAGACCACGGGCTGCCAGCTGGCACGCGTGGGATGATGTGGCCAGTGTGGCCAGAGCTCTGTGTCACCGAGCTGAATCACCAGGTTACGTGGAGTGGCCTTTTGGCGCTGACCTGTGGCCCTGTCCTTGTCCCTGCTCACTGCACTCAGGTGCCACTCGCCTGGCCCTTCAGGCATCTGAGGTGGCCACCCATGCTTTAGACCTTGGGACAGCCAAGAACCGTCCACGCTTTCTCCACATGTGTCACAATGGTGCCCCATGCTGAGCTGCTGGCTCCTTTGAAGTGACAGGGGCCATGGGACCTCCCAAGCACTCGCCCACAGATAGAGGGTAGAGGGACTGTCACCCCTACTAGGCCCAGCCCCTGAAATGTCCTGCGGGACCCTCTCTCTTGCCCTACCCAAGAAAACAGAAAGACAGAGCTACCAAGGTGCCAGAGTCACCTAAAAGCAAGAGCCCAGAAGTCAGACACTGGACAGATGACAGGGACCCAGGAGAGCCACCAGCAAGGAGCATTGACCCGCTGCGTCACATCACTGAGACTTGGGGGTGTTTGTCCCAGCAGCTTG